CAGATCTGCTTTTGACTTCCACTCGGTAACGGCGTGGGAAATCTAATCTGAGAAGTGTGCATCTTCTCCAAATCAACTGTTTCTCTTGGACAGGGGATTGGCCTAGAGCTTCTTGGGGTGTTTTGGGCCCAGGGAGGCCTCACCCAGTTCTCCTGAGGTGGCTTTGGGTTCCTAATGTCACCTCCAGGATTATAGGCTGGGAAGAAGACAGGCAGGCAGCATGACATAATGAAAAGTTCATGGTTTGGGCTTTAGAAAGGACAGGTTTTTAGACTGGACTCGTGTTTGAGTCTGAGCTCCACTGCTTACCCAAGACATGACCTTGCTAAATTCCTTGAACTCTCTTGCCTCCATTCTTTTCTTTGGTGAAATATGAATATAGAAGCTTAGGTCTCAATGGATTCATCTGTCAGATAAAAGCATTATACTAGATGACCTGTAAACTATCCCTAGTTCTAATGTCCTGAGTTAGAGTTTATAGATCTGTGTCTATATACATATGCATATGTGTACATGTGTGTCTATAGTACATACATAAGAATACATGACTTAACCAATTTTTTAGTAATGAAGAAATGATAGTGTAATTTCTTTGCTCTGATGAATATAACATTTTCTTCTGCTTATATCTCGGATATATTTTGAATGACTATGATAAAAACACAGACTCTGAGAAAGAAAGGTTACTTTATAAATTCGAGGTAACATCCATTAACACGATTTAATGAAGCAGGAAACTTTTAGGATTTAAATATCTAAATTTTAAGTTTATTCTTTGAAGAACTCATATGTAGCCCAACGATGACATTCTGAGTTATGATTCCTAAAGTTTCCTGATGAAAAATGCTTAATTTGTAAAGGTTAGTTGCTCTGCTGACCATGAATACTTATTCATAATGGTTGTGTGTCTCAGCATACTAATTTTTATGTTTGTGTGATACTATTTTTGCAGGGCTCCCATTATTCACATATGCTGTCTCACTCATTTACAAATAAACTTATGAGCTTGAGAAGGGACTGTTTGGCTATTCCTATTTTGCTAGATGTGGAAGCAGGGCCATGTAGCAGCAACTTTCTCGGAAACTTTGAAGTTAGAGATAGCACTTGGAATTAAGCCAAACTGAGCATAGTTCTTGCAGCTTCCTAATCTTTGGCCAGCCCATAAGTAAAGACTTAGTGCTCAGTATTAATAATGAAGAAGACAATGATTATCATAATAATGCTCAAGTTTCTTATTTTGAACAATCCAAACTGCTCACTCCAAGCCTCTTATCCATTTTAAAAAAATATGAAGACAAGAGCTAAATTTAGGATTCAAGCTGACTCTCCCTCCCTTTATTCCCTGTCACTGGATACTTTTGTGCTTGTCTTAGAAATCACCCATTGGATTCGCTTTCTTCCTCTCAGTGCTAAGTTTAAGATCATTGTTTTTATCACATTATATATGGATTGTAGAAACAGCTTCTCAGCTTGCCTCTCTGCTCTCAGCCTTATTCCGTTCTATTCCACTCTGCACATGATTACCAAGGTAACATTCCAAAGACACCGCTTTCATTTTGCCACTCCCCTCAGGAAACTACAGCCAAATCCCTCTGTCTGATTTTTGAGGCTTTCCCTCTTTGGAGCTTGTTTTCATCAGCATGGATTGCCAAAAAAAAAAAAAATACGGTAAACTGGTAAACTCAGCTTAAACAGCAGAGCTTCAGAGTTCTGGCGTCCCGAAGTCCAAGATGAAGGTGCCAGCAAGGTAGGTTTTATTCTGAGGCTTAGAGGTGGTGCCGTCTCTCTGAGTGCTCACATGAACTCTTTGGGCTCACATGGTGTCTCTTCTTATAAAGACACTAATCCTTTGAGACCAAGGTCCCACCCTCTTGATCTCATTTGACCTTAACTGCCTCCCAAAGACTCCATCTCCAAATATGATCACATTGGGAGTTAGGGCTTCAATGTATGAATTTTGGGAGGATGCCAACATTCAGCCCTTGACAGGGCTCCTTCAGCCTCCTCAGCCTTACTTCCGTATCTCCTGAGATGTAGCCTTACCCCCAGTTTCCTCCCAGCACCCCTCTTCCAGTCCCAGTGCTTTTACCTGTATGTTCCTGCATCTTGCTGCTCACTAGCCCCCTCTCCCCCAACCCCTTCCTACCTCTCTTCTCCAGAAGACTTTCTTCTTCCCTTGTACTTTCTCAAACTGGACATATCCTTCAAGGTCTACCTCAAATTGCACCTGCTCTAAGAACACTTTCTAATCTTCTATAATCCATACAATATCCTTTTTCTATGAACTCTTATAGCCACACTATAATTTAGCCCTTAATCATTCTCTAATTCTTTTATGATAGTAGTGAAGTATCCTGTTGGGATTTATACTCTACAGAGTACTTTCATATCTATAGTCTTCTGTGATTCCCTCAAAAACCCAGTAAGGTAGAAATTATTATAATTTCCATTTTACATGTATGAAGATTGAAGCTCAGTGAGGTTAAATGGCTTACCACTGGTTAGAAAGCCAGTAAGTCAGGAACGCAATGCCGTTTTGTGACTCTTGAAACTCATGGTCTATCAACCCATTCCTTACTCCATCTTCTGTATCTTTACATGAGTTTTCTTCTCTCTCACCCATTCTAATTTAGGTTATATTGCTGTGTTTTATGTATCTCTATAGGCCAAATTTTATTCTTTTTCAGGGGGAAAAAGAAATACAATTAATTTTCATGAAGAATTTCAGAGTGAATTCCAGTTGAGTTTCTTTCCACTAAATCATAAGCTAAGTAATTCTGTGATAAATAGTAGCCTCCCCATTTAATAAATGAAGAAATGGACAGAAACAAGGACTTAATCTCTGCATACCCTCTACTGCATTAGGCAATTCCTCATTATTTTTTCCAAGTAAAAAGTGTTAATGAGAAGCTTTTGGCTAAGATAACACATGTATTCAACAGCACAACATATCATTTTTGTTTTGCTGTAATTGCAATGTGTAGATATAACTTCTGCAGTGCGTGATCTCAGAATATTTTGGCCTCCCACGCAGAAGATGAACTCTGAGGTTACAGCCATTAGGTGGGGGTGAGGGAGTGTGAAATAATTTAATAGTGGAAGCTCACCAATCACACCTGACCCCAATCCGTCCAGACATTAGTGCAAAGAAACCACTTACAAATTCCTTTAGAGTGATACCAAATCAGAAACATTTAATGTGCACTGAAAAAGCCAAGTTAAGAATCAAGTTCAGACATGCAGAGGTGTGATATCTACAACCAGAGCCAAGTTAGAAAGGGGTTAGTCCTTCCAATGGCCAAATTAAACAAGACACAATTGAGGGTAACTCATCCCTCTGGGCACTTATAAAACCTGCACGTGGGAACTTTTGAAAATGAAGTTAGCGCTGATTGTGTCTTATTTTGTTTGGCCATTGAATGGGCTAACCCTTTAGGAATTTGGCTCTGACTGGAGATATCACACTTTTATGTGTCTGACCTCCCCCCACCCCAACTCCCTTTTTGTGTGTGCGTGTGTATATATAGAATTAAAAAAATCAGATATGGTGGTAGATTATTAAGTTTAATAAAAGTGAAAGATAAAAGCAAAGCATGGAAAAGAACTGAATGTGCTGAAATAGAAATTAATTAGACTACCAAGGACATACTGCTTTTTTTTTTTTTTCCTGGTCTCCTTTATATTTAAGGGCTGAGTAGCATAGTACTAGTTAAGGCCAACAGTGAAGTTACTTGGGGGAATTCCTGAACCCAACCTCATTGATTCACTGCCACCAGTCAGCAAAGCAGGCATGCTCAAAGGGGACAGCTGAGGGGCGCCTGGGTGGTTCAGTCGGTTGAGTGACCTACTTCGGCTCAGGTCATGATCTCATGGTTTGTGAGTTCAAGCCCCGTGTTGGGCTCTGTGCTGACAGATCAGAACTTGGAGCCTGCTTCGGATTCTGTGTCTCCCTCTCTCTCTGCCCCTCCCCCACTCATGCTCTGTCTCTCTCTGTCTCAGAAATAAATAAACATTAAAAAAAAGGGGACAGCTGAGTAAGGGGACACAAGAAGGCATGTGTTGAGAGTCACACAGTAGACAGATAATGCAGTATCTGGACAGTAGAGTCCAAAGATGGCTCTGGTTCAGCCTCTTCAGTGTTTGAAGCTAACAGATTGCACTTCATTGCTGAAGAGCTGGAAGTTCCTGGGGCTGTGGGCATAGGTGGGAATGAGGATACTGATAACATGATGAAAAAAAAAATGCTTTCATGGCTGTTTTCCTACCAAGATGTTCTGTGTCATACCTGTCAGCAAATTCCCCTGCTTTGAAGTTGTAAATTTAAATAGCTACTTGACAATGTGGTGTGAGCTGTGTAGATCATCAAGGAAAAATTCTGTGGCATTTGATTAACTTGTATATTTTTATTGCGATGCAATAAAGGAGGCATCTTTAACTGAAATTCCTTAAGCACCCAATTGTGACCCACTATCCCAAGTGACCTCATACTGAGATACATTTTTCTAGAAAACTGTATCTTTGGGCCAATAACCAAGTCAGTACACTTTGCCATTATTTTCACAAGACATCCAGCTGAAAGGAACATAATGTTTCCTAAGTGAAGATATATATTTACCCTTTTGTTTTCTGGAGTTAGGTCTTACCAATTTGTCTTTTCCCTTTTAATATTCGTTTCTCATCATCACTGGACCTATGTGAGAAAAAGTCTCAACTTTTCACGGTCTGATTGAAGGTCTTATCGTGGGGTTGATTATGACACGAAACTGATGAAGTGATATTTTTTTACTCTCAGACATTAGGCAAGATCCAATGCTCAGGAGAGGGCGCTATAAATATGTGCATTTGACTCTGTGCTCAGTCTTCTGACCATTGTGTAGTTAAGGGTACTTGTCTTAAAAATTTGTTGGCACTTTTTATTTGGCAGTTTCATGCTGAGGTAAATGTTGGCAAATGAACAAACAGCTTCTGTTCCTGCTTCCCTATGGTTCTGTTCCAGGTCAATCCCAGGATTCTGGCATAATTTGAGAAGTTTCTGCTGGCCTCCACCATTCTTGACCAAGGAGACCTCTGGGAGGCCAGTTAAGAACAGTAACTGCTCTGCTGATCCGTGTCTGTTGGGTGACTAACTTGGAAAGCTGTATTTCTCTGCGCAAATTTCCTGGATCTATCTGTCTACCACTGAAATTCCTAGACAAAAGACACCAATTTATGACTTGACCAGTGTGTGTGTGTGTGTTCCATAGGGAAGTTGGGTTTAGTTTTGTCAAGCATCTGTTATATTAGTCTCAGTCTACATTCTCCAGGACTAACTTCTAAAAATCTAAGACCCCTTTGAAGTGGCTCCCACTGTCAAATGACTCAACTTTTACTTTCTCTTTCCACAAAGTTCGCACAATTTTTCTACTGCTAATGGTCTTTATAACTTTGTACAATTGGTTTCTCTCCATAGCAAAGCTGTTGGTGTGCCAAAATGTACACTAATAGAGAATGATAGTGTACTGGAAAGATCTTCATGTAGAGAGATGAAAAATTAAAGGAATTTTTATGCATTCATCAGATATTAATTATACAGCTGCTCTGTGTAAGGTGCGTAGTGAATGCATATTTACATTTATATTTTAGAATCATCTAGCTACTGTTTGAGATTGATTGGAATGTCCTTTATTCAAGTGAACATCATGATGGAAACTATGTATAAAAGGATTTCACAGGAGAAATGAATCTGTTGCTTGAATTTGAGAAAAGCGGTCTCAGTTTGGCAGAGACAGAGTAAAAAGAATGTTTTCTAAGAGTGGGGAGGATGGGAAAACATAGTGAAATAAAAGTTAAAAGGGCAAAACAAAGGGTGCCTTTCTGGTATAGAGGCTATGACTAACTGAGATAAGCTAAGATAATATAATATAGGTGATGTCTTGAAAGATGGGAGAGGATTAGAGAATGATGTTGGAGAGGCGCTTTTATAGGACACCTTCAAATACCATGTACAGGAAGTTCATTTGACCATATCGCATTGTTGTGAGATTGAATATAAACTCTTTTCGTTAAGTTCAGATTGATTTTTGAGAGTGCATTGTGTTCCTCTTTGATTTGTCAATAAGATCACCTTAAGTAAGAATTGCAAATGACAGTTTAGAGGACAAGAATTGCAAATGACAATTAAAAGACAATATAGAGGATCCTGAAGCAAAGCAATCGAGGTACTCCCAATGTCTAGCACACCGCCTGGGATATAGGGTTTGCTCAATAACTAAGTAATGTTTAGATGAATGACAGGTCTGGGCTGAGCTCACCTCCTGGGCATGAGCATTTGTCACACACACTGAATAATTACTACGCCTTATATTCTGTAATCCCACTCTTAATCAATTCATAGAGACTCAGAAAGTTTTCTAAATAGAAACACTCCATCTGAGCGGTGGTAAACAAGATGTTAAAGTCTGTATAACGGAAAACAAATTATGCATAGGAACTGTGAGCAATGACTTAGAAAGAGAAAAAAATTTCTCACAATTTTTAGTCCACTCCTGCTTCTTTAATTGTTTTGGCATGTGAGAATCAGAGTCACTCAGGCATGCAAATATTAGCATCCCCAAGGACTGCCACTTGGCTGCCCACATCCCTTTTGGGTATACCTTTATGCTGAAGAATGACTCCAATAGCACAAAGCAAGCAAATGTTAGGTTTGAAATGACTGAACGTGGTTTTGAACCTTTTCACTGAAGCGAGGGTCACGGGTTAAAGACTTTGACCAAGACTGCAGTGAACCATAAAATCATCTCCAGAAGCCGGCATATTGTTCATAACTGAGGTTGGATGCCCATCAATGATTACAAGGTGATATTTGACAGTAAAGACTTTTCCGTATCATTTGTTTGGGTTTTAAAGAGTGAACATGTATATTATAAATGTTTCCTTCCTTTTGTTATTATTGCCTTCCCATACTTTCGTTTTGTGAGTTTGGAAGAAAAACTTCAGAAAAATGCAGTGAGGAGTCTCTGTGAATTTCTACATAGGGTTTAATGGGACAGCTAAGATTTCTTAAATAAAGAATTGTCTCTCACCACCAACATGCCCGTCCTCTGGTTATGGCTGAAAGGGGGCTGCTGGCGACACCACAACCCTAACAATAGCAAAAACAATACTGAAAATAGCTGATGACACTGTATGCCACATTTGCGGCAGCTGGGGCCAGTAGAGGGCAAACAAAAGAGCCAAGGTCACACTGCTGCTGCTGGTAAGTAACAAAGTCATAATTTGATTCCAGATCTTTGAACTCTAGACCACTACTTTGCCTTTATTAAACAGATGTCTACAGAGTGGCCCACTATTTCTTGGCATATGTATGATACTGCTCATACTGGTGGTTGAGTCATATAATATAGGACATAGCCTTCCTCTTAAGAAGCTTGTTGTGTCGTCAGGGGCACGAGAAATGTCTAAGCACAAATTATAACCAAAATGAAAGGCTCTCAACAAGACATGAAGAGTTAACAGGAGGAGGAAAGTGGAGGAGAGACATAAAGGAATAGGTAGGCATTTCTTGAGGAGAGAAGACAGCATTTCCATGAATGCTACAGCTCTGCAGCATTTCTGCAGACTCTAATATGATGAGGGTGGGGACTCCACAGAAGAGGTGGGGCTTGAGTGCGACCCTGAAGGAAGGGTGAAATCTGCATAAGTAGTGAGGCCAGAGGAAGACATTGGAGGACAGAAATGGTTCATATTGAAGTGGGGAGTCAAGTACCTATGAGGAGTCATTATGAAATATTGAGTGGATTGACCTTTCTGGAGAATAAGTTTTCCCCTGGGAAAGTGGTGGAAGCCAAGAGTAGAAATTTGTAATGACCCACAGCGAGCATCTGGCAGGAAGAGGGCAGCAGAATGCCCAGGAAGGAGAAGATATACAATTCATCTCACAGGATGGCCTGGGGGTGGCTCTGCTCACATATTGGTATTTTTGTTGGGATCCTTCCTCAAAAATTCTTATTTTATGATTGAGCACCAAAGCCCAATGAAAGCTGAAATAATTATCTGAAAAAACAGGGGATAAAGATTGGGAATTACTTCCACAAACAACAGAGTATTTCCTGAGGCCAAAAAAATGTGAGTTATTTCCTTTATTATTTTTAATGCTTTACTAAATGGCCGCTAGACTTTGGAGGGTCAAAAAATAAACTCATTCTTCAGTCGTTCTTCTTATCTTTGAAACTTATCTGATAAGAGCATTTTCAACTTTTGAGTTGTAGGAACAAGCATCCTTAATAAAATTATATGGTGCTTTCTTTGATAATTGATTTCTATCTGTGTTTGTTGTCTTTCTTTGGACATTACTATTACTGGATGCTTTTAAGAAACAGGTTGCACAGATTTTTTTTGTTCTTAAGTACATAGAAAACCGTCGAATTAAATAAACTTCTCTACATATGTATTATACAAGAACAGGAATAAGTTTACATATATATATATATATATATATATATATAACTGATTTTATATATATATATATATAAATAACTGATTACTCATAAATAGTAAGTCAGTTTTGGGTTTTCAGGAAGTAATAGCAGAAAGGGAAGGTATTCTGTTTCTAATTTTGATTTTTCTTACTTTTCCACTCTATTTCCTGGCTATCAGTGTAAGCATTTAGGAAGCTCTACTTATAAAGCTTCTCTTGGGTTTTATGCTTCATGTTAATCAATTGGTGTAGAACATACAGTGCTCTCTCTTTTCAGGAGCCTGTTATGTGTAGGTTTTGTTCTGCTTTAAAATTTGTTTCCTTTTTATTCTTCATAGGAAGCATATAAGGGCAAAATGAAGTATGTAGAGAGTTAAAGAAATACCTAGTCCTTTAAATCACTGTAGTCAGTCAAGCAAAAAGACCTTAAGACATAGTGTCTAGGATTATGTAAATCTAGCTGAGGGAAAAAGACATATGTGCAAGAAATAGTGCAGTGACAATGCACATTAGAATGCCCAAATTTATTACTATTGTGTAGGGAATGCTATAGGAATTCAAAGAAGATGGACGGCTAATGGGGGGCACAAGTCATTCTAGACATCTATTCAGGAGGTAATAGGGCAAACTTTGCATGTGTGAAAAGAGGGAGGGGTGATTTCAGAGCTAGAGAAGCTTGATTCTGGTGTGCTTAGGGTAAGCTACCGGGGACAGCAAGGAAGTTGGGACATAGTAGACAAAAGTTAGAGTCAGATTATGGACAGATTTGAAGCCTGAGTTGAAACGTATTAAGACAGGGGTGACTGTTACGAACTAAATATCTAAGGCACATGTTATGATAGAGCACTTATCCATTACCCATCCATCCGTTCATTCATTGAACAAATAATGCTTGGCTCCTAATATTTGTGGACATGCTGTCAAATGTTGGGTGTACAGGATTTTGAAGGGAAGAGAAGCTGGAGGAAGGAAAACCAAGAGGCTAATGTAGTTGTCTGGATATGAGAAAATGAGGGCAGAGTTGGAGTATGGTGGTGGAACTGAAGAGGAGGGGCTGGGTTTAGGATGCTAGTTGAATTAATATGGAGTTGGTCATTGTAATTAGTTGGCTATAGGGGATAAAGGAAAGGTAGATTTTCAAGCTGGACTGGCTTGGAGAATGCCATTGATAGAAAGAATGGGATTAGGTACATGGGTCAACTTTGGTAGGAAGAGCACAGACATCATTTTACAGTGGTCATTCCCTCCATGCAATTAGAGATACAGGACTAGAGCTCAAATTAGAGCTCAAGGTTGGAAATGTAGGCATTAGAATCGCTAACAGGGTAAAGTTAAAGTTGTTGCATTTAACTTAATGAGACATATTACTTATTTACTGTAGTTGATGATCATAGGGCCGAGAAACACATATGGAGATGGCCACAGCTGGTACGGGGTGCCACCAAAAGGTGAAGAGAAGACTCATAAGGAGCAGGGTAATTGGAGGAAATGGGAAAAGCAAAAAGTTTCAAGGTCAGTATTTTCAACAATAGATTTTCATAGACTTTTATTTAACAACATCATTGGGTACCTATTATGAGCCAGGCACAACTTTAGGTGTTAAGGTTACGTAGCATTGAGTATGAATGTCCCTGACTTCATGGAGGTTATGTATAGATAGGGGGAAATCAAGGGAAGTTGAATACTCTAGTTTCATGTGATACAACACAGACATTTTAAAGAACCGATATGCAATATGTTATGAGGATTCAAAATATGGGCGTAACCCCCATAGTATAAAAGATATTTTTAAATGGAACATTTTTTCCCCTTTAGGTTTACGATTCAGTAATCCCAATGACAGTAAAATAGAGTCATAAAAAGGAGATAAGGTGGAGTGAGGAATGAGCAGAACTTTAGGATTATGACTGATGTACATCATCGTCATTAGATATAATACAATTTCTTTACAAGTCCATAAAATGCTCAAGTCCTTGAAAAAGGGAGTTGCAGAAGAGGTGGGGCAGGGAGTAGGTACATAAGGCATATTACCTTGGAAATGAAGCTGCTGACCAGATTTTAACTACCAGACATGGCCTTTTCTGAATTGTCAGAACAGAATGTAATTAACAACGGGAAGTGAGCTTTGGGAGATGACAACACGTACGAAAGTTGTAATAAAAGATCTCTCCTTTGCAAATATGTAACTTGCTTTTGCAAAGGTAGTATTGTTTCTTGTGGAAGACATCTTCCCCATAAATATCAGGATCCCATTTGTACTAATTAGACACATGAAGTGCATAATCATACAGTTTGCCCTTTGGTAACTGCTGTCATTACTTGTAGGTCTTTCCAAGGATTTTGTAATTCAGTTAAGTAAGAGATACCAGCTGTAGATAAATGCTTGTTTGCTTAGCCAGAAAACACTGGGGATGAGCGAGAAGGTATAACTGTAAGTGGGCTGCAGATTCTTATGTGTGAAGCCAGTGTATAGTTTGTGAATTATGAAATAATATGCTGTAGGACTAATGGTTTTTGAAACACAGAAATAAGAAATCTTTGGCCAGGTGGTATGAAAAAGGAATAAAAATACTTTGAATTTTTAAAAAAGGTCTAAAAAGGTCTATGATACTTTAAAGTATCCATTATTCAATGAATATTCATCAAGCCCTAACTCTTCATGAGGCTTGGAGAAGGAGAGAGAAGACTAATCAAGCAAGTCTTTGGGAAGTGCCACGTGATAGAGCAGATCATAAAACACTGTGAGAGTACAGAGTAATAAGGAGATAACCAAGTCTGAAAATTAAATAATTTTCACCATCTTAGTTAATGTGGTGTGTGTTATGTAAGATAAAAGGATTCCTTTAGAGATGCTGGTTCATGGTGGACAAGTGCTTTTGTTTTCACCTCCTCAGGCTCTACATAGATGGAGGATTCTCTCAGAGGGAACCTGGATTTAAGAGCAGCTTCCAGCAGTGGACTTTGCCCCGTGGCCTGTGGAAGGCATCAGTGTTTGGTTTGAGGAAAATTTCTCAGGTTCAACAGGAGAATCTCCAGGTGAAGAAGAAAGAGACCAAGTTTTTAGTGTCAATGTTGAGGTGGGGGCTAGACGTTTGGGAAGACAAGGTATGGGGCATTTAGAGACCAAAGGTAGCAAAGCTCTTTATAATACTGGTGAGTCATTCATGGCCCTTTTTATGTCATGAGAATTAATACCTGGGTTATAAAGTTAATCGTATTTTATCACTTCAGCATTTTGGAGAACATCATTTGACACAGAACATTAAAAATTCCCTGACATAATGAATACATGACTTCGGGATTCTAGTGAGGTCTAATGAATAAATGTAACACTTAGACACATTCCTAAGAATCTAGTCTAGATACACTTGATAAACCAGATAGACTCACTCTTAATGGGTTTATTCTGCTTGGAGTTAATAATGAGTGCTTAAAGTAGTGCCTAATGTGTATTTACTCAATAGTCAAAGAATAGTCTGAATCATGACTCCATGTGCAGCTGGAAATCCAATCTAATAAATCTGTATCTGAAGCTTTCAAAACTACTATGCACACAAGAATTATGTAATTTTAATTTTTGTTTTCTATCCTTCCAGCCCCACCTGATGCTATATGGTAGGGTTTTGTTTTTGTTACAGCAAATAGTGTAATTATCCCTTAAAAATTTGCACAAGCTGGGGAGAATTAATAAAAATTATAATCATGCTGGGTACACAGTGAAATATTACAACTCATAGCTTGGGAGTAACTACTTGGAAATAATTAAAAAAATTTTCCTATTCCCTATATCTGCAACTTCTGTTTATTACTTTCAGATTAAGTTTATGGGGAAGATTCTTTTGGCTGAAAAATAAGCAATATTTTTCATAATCTGATTCAGGGCCAGTGTATTCAATTTCATAAGTATGTCTTGAGCTGCTTTTGTGGTAAGAGATATGGAAAATTGAATGTTATAGTCATTGCCTTTATGGAACTTGCCACCTTGTGTCCTGAGCAAAACTTAACATGATGAAACTTTGATCTTTTCAGTGCTCTACAACTATTAGCCTCCTCTTGTCCACCGTACTGCTTCCTCAGATGTTTGCATGGGGACCTTTTACCCAAGGCATCTCCCATTATATTAATCACCAGGTGGGTAAGTTAGGAATGCTTATAGTTAATACATATGTTTGTGTTTGTGTTTGTGTGTATTTTACCTGCAGAAAGGACAATCATTCCTTAGCTTCCCCTACCATCTTTATAACACCGACCAGACTTTTGTTTTTATTTAACACTTTTTAAATGTTTATTTTTGAGAGAGAGAGAGATTGAGAGAGAGAGAGAGAGAGACAGAATCTGAAGCAGGCTCCAGGCCCTGAGCTGTCAGCATAGAACCCAATGTGGGGCTCGAACCCACGAACCATGAGATCATGACCTGATCGGACTGCAGTCAGTTAAGCTGCAGTCGGACGCTTAACTGACTGGGCCACCCAGGCGTCCTTCATTTTAGCTATTTTATTGGGCAAGCAGTAGTACCTCATTGTGTTTTTCATTTATCCAACTATTAATGATGTTGAACATCTTCTCATGTATTCATTGGCCATTGCCACGTGCTTATTTGCTTCATTGCCATTCTTTGCTCATTTGTTCAAATTCATTTGTTCATTAAAAAAATTGACTTACTTTCCTTCTTATTACTGGGTTGTAAGAGTCCCTTGATATTATAGATCAATTATTTTTAAAATATGCTTTTTATCTTGTCATATGTTTTAAATATACTTTTGAAAACCTTGGAGCTACAGAGTTAGCTCATCTAATTTATGAAAAATGCCCTTCGTATTTCATAATTAGCAAAGCAGGGGCCCTTCACATGCCAATCTGCCAAATCAGACTTTCTGTCAGAAGGAAAAAACACCTGACTTCATTTTTCTTTTTTAAAGATGTTTATTTATTTATTTAGAGAGAGGGTGTGTGTGAGAGTCGGGGAGGGACACAGAGAGAGACAGAAAGAGAGTCCCAAGCAGGCTCTAGCACTGTTAGTGCAGAGCCCAATGGGGGGGGGCTCAATCTCATGACCTGAGATCATGACCTGAGCCAAAATCAAGAGGCGGATGCTCAACCGACTGAGCCACCCAGGTGCCCCTCATTTTTCAGTTCTGACAAATGCATAAGTATGGGTTTGGATCACCCTCCAGAGTGATGCTTTTTGGGGTAAAAAATGGAGGATGGAAGTGCTAGCATGTTCACGGAAATTTGTCTCCGCTCCCACCCTATAGTGTTTCTATATTTGAAATATTCCAACACAGGGAAAAAACGTCGCTTCTAGATTCTTAAATAAATACGTAATCCATTAAAAAGATAAGAAGCCTTTCACAGACACTAATATTCTGAATTGTTCCTTCAGCTGGTGTTGGAAAGTCTTTCCCCCAGGTCTGTCCACCACAGGTAGATTAGGGATTTCCTGTTCAAGGGGGAGAGCCCTGCCAGGAGACGCAGAACCCAGGGCCAGTGGAGCACTGAGGCATCCTAAGCATGGAAGTTTTGGGAAAGCACACATATGGAAAATGGAGAAATGGAAACGGATTCCCTATCCATGCCTTCACATTCCTTGGACAATTTCCTGAACTCCCAGGGACAATTTCCTGAACTCCCAGGAGTACTTGTACCAGAATATGAAGACTCTTGTTCTAAATGAATGTGGTTTTTGAAGAAGGGAATGCTTGACAAGCAATGGGCTGTCAAAAATTCCAAGAAAGATAAATTGTTTCCTGCTGGAGGAGAGTAATAAGTGTTCCTGGAGGGACAACAGGGTGATGTCTTTGAGGCGTCAGATGAGGCTCATGTATGGAATTTCTTCAGTACTGTTGGTGAAAGATTTTAGTGCACTAAGGCCATCACTGGAGTCTCTCCATGTCTCTCCAAATATATATGAATGTACATATATATATTCATAGAGAATATATATATTACTCTATATTTTTCATAAAAAGTGATGGTGGTTTTATTTATAAGTACTTTATATTTATTTATATACTTTTATTATTATTTTAAAACAGCTATAATTGTCACGCTGTTTTTAAGTCTTTGATTAATATTTCCCCCTGTATTATTTGCTTGGGGACAAACCTCAGTCTATATCAGTGGGAGACCTAATTACTGGAGGATTCAATTAAGAGTTTCTTTCAGGGACTTTTCAGAGAACAATTTCATAGTAGAGAAACTCCACCTTATTTAGATCTCTCCAACTGAACAGTGAGGAAATCTTGACACTTGTCACAAGGACTCAACTAGACCAAACATTACAAAAATTATTTGCATTTATTCAAGCCTTTAAAATAAAATATTCATTTAATATGATACTCACAGAAGCAATAAAATACATAATTTAATAGGCTTTTCAAGCTCATTTAAAAATAGAGAGCTGTCATTTTACAAAGCTCAGCTATTTTTCTTCCCTCTAGCACAACTCACACAATACCACACCATGTAAGAAAGCCAAGTTTTGTCTCACATATTTGGATCTGCAGGGAGGAAAATCCTGCCTGCTGCAGCTGCTGGCTTCCGGACCCTTGTCTGGCCATGCTGAAATGCTGATATGAATTCACAGTGGCCTTAGCACACCTGCCTGTTTTCTGTTTGATGAGGAAAGCGTAGGAGGCACTGGACGGACAGACTCAAAGTTTTCCTTCTGCGCCATCAGAAGCATATTCTTTGACACTCCTTGATAGAAAATCTAAACCACCTCTCCCCTACTGGCCTCTAATAAATAGCTGTAGTCCTTTTTAATAAATCTAATGATGAAAAAAAATATAGGAACCTTATCCAATCGTAAATGTGAACCTCATCTAAAAAGGCATACATATTACGGTGTTCAAAGCAGACTCCCTCACTCCCTATCGGAAGCTAAGGGTTGACGTTCATGTTCTTGTGATGCTGAAGAACACCAGCGGGATCTGAACTCGCTTCACCCAAATGCCAAAGGTCGTTTGGAGCCAAAACATTTGAAAGGAAATCTATGAGGCAGGGAGTATTTCCAAATGGAAAATGGAACAAAACCACCATGAACTGAATTAAGAATGTGCCCCCATGTTGCCGCAGAATGAAGGAAAAGAAATTAAATCAGACCCAACACGTGGCCAGTTGTTTCCCCCTTGACATTAAACCCCTGGTGCCATTGATCAAATCCTCCCTGCTTCCTCTTGTGACACTTACTTACAGCACCCAGAGAACCCATCTGGCAGCGCCCTTCCTCCTTCTGGGCCCTGGGCATGTCGTCTTCTTCCTCATTCATGTTTCTTTTTATCGATACTCACTTGTGCACATCTAACTGACTCATGTCCTGCATTTCAAGTGGGTCTTTATTATTTGTGCTTTTCCTTGCGTTCGCCATGATCTCCCATTGAACTAAAATCACCAACTGGAGTAGTGGTGTTTTTTTTCCCAATGCTTCTGCAATCTGCCCGCTCCAAAGCTGTCACACTAGCCAACGTCGACCTGCCCCCTGCAGGCAGACCTTGAGGAAGCCCCTCTCCAGGGCTTGAAGAGCTCTTTGCCAAATTCAAGCCATTGGAAAGAATTGTTTTTCCTAAAAAAAAGAAATCTAGTGGCATTGTTGGACTCCTGAGGCAGAGCAACCAATGTATGACATCGCTGATGCATTATGGACTCCTAATTTGACGATTGATTTCTGTTTAGTAACTCTTTTCTCTTATTTTTGCCCTTGGACTGTCACTGGAGAAGGCTAATTTTTTTTTTTTAATGCAGGAAGTCAGCTATTTGTCCATGTTACATGATAAAGTTATATAAATAAATAGGTTGCAACATTTTCAAAATAATAATTAACATGTCAGTGGAAGATGTTCATTTCAATCTTCTTACAATCATAAATACTGAAGAAAATCTTGATCACTTTATAATAATAATAATTCGTTGCATCTATCTTAAGATACATAAAGTCAGGTGCTCATCTCTGCATTTTGAGATTCTGAGTAAGAATCCGGTTTAGGAGTTATGAGGTTCTCAGTGTTACCAGTGTCAGGTATAGTCTGTGGTCTGAGGACATTTCTCGGGCATATTTCAAAGACAGTACATATATACATATAAATATTTGTCACATTAAGGATTTGGGCCACCAGTCACTTGGTACCAAAACCAATATATGGATTCAACTGGAATTTAAATTTTCACCTTAACCCTTTCCTGCCAAGTATCCCAACAAAAACAAACAGATACTGTTATCGCAGAACGTGTACTTTAGAATTCTTCTTTTTTGTCCACTTGGTGTCTACTTGTTATCTGGCTGAAATCCTCCGTTCACCTTTGAGAATGATGACCCAGAGACTGTTTCGATGTCTTTGCTCTCTGGAAATTCCATGTCGTTCTTTCCATGACATTTCTTGTATGCCACATAAACTAGAAGGCAAGACACAGGAGGTTAATCAAGGTTCATATCAATTAGCTGCAAACTTTCTTTGGGCAGTGATCATAATCTATGGCTCAGATATCAGCTTGCACTTCCTGTAGGCTGAGGGCTGCTTAGAGAGAGCAGAAGCCATTCTTAGGTTGCACACCAGTCATGGTACTTCTGGAAGACCTGGAGCACAGCCATGGGGAGCACTTGCTCACATGGCTTCTGCAGGCATCAGCCCTGCGGTGGGTGCTCGTCAAGAATGACAGCAGGCACGTATTCTGTGCCCACCACCTCCTACTTATTACAGTCCTCAGTAAATAGGGTCCATGCTACGGTGCAGGGTCAAACACCTAGGTCTAGTGCTCTGTGTGGGAGGACTTGTGCTGGAATCACACTCCGTCTCTCCCTGACTTGACTCCTTTCTTCCCCCGAAGCGGGAGCCTTGGCTGAGCTGGGATCAGCCTTCCTCTCTTCTGGGAAGCTGCTGGTCTCTGGTGGCAGTGCGTCTATCAGCGTAGTTTTGAGGCCAGCTCACCTGGGCACACTGCCTGGCAAGGGGAGCAGAGCAGTGTATGTGTGTAGACAAGCGCTATGGGCCCATGTATGGGGCAGGGGAGAGGGGTGGTCTTCATAGGCCCCGTTGGTTTTTGAGCCATATTTTCTAATTAAGTTTTATCTGAATGAGTGCTATTTTGTTATCTAAATATATGATTTTTTTTCTTCTACTTCTCATTGGTTACAAAGTCAACAGAGGAAGAAAAAGTATTATATCATTGGAACTTCACACTTAAAATCGGTACATAATAATGTCTATCTCATAATGCAGTTGTGAACATTAAGTGAAATAAAATAGTAAGGTACCTAGTATGGCCCTGGGAGAATAGTCAGTGCTCAGGAGTGCTTCAAAGGTCTTAGTATGTCAAGATCCATGTCTCCTTGTTGGTCCCTGCACTTCTATAATACATTAATTTTGAAGCCACTGATCTATTGAATCTATTGAATTGAGCTTTTGGTTAATTAAAATAGCCCAACAGTTCTATTACAAACTGTTTTCAGCCAGGACCCCTTCAACACACGTACACCACTAATTCTATTTAACCAAATTGTTTATTCTCTTTCTTCTTTCTTCTTCCCTTCCCTTCCCTTCCCTTCCCTTCCCTTCCTTCCCCCTTCCTTCCTTCCTTCCTTCCTTCCTTCCTTCCTTCCTTCCTTCCTCTTTCCTTCTTTCTGTCCTTCCTGTCTTTCTCCTTCTCTTCCTCCCTCATTCCCTTCTTTCCTTACTTTCTTTGTTCCAAAAAATTCTTTCACCAAAATATGTTTCCAGGCATTGTATGTATCAACAAATATGGCTTCCTCATCTTTATTCTTACTTATAAAAATGTGGGAAAGTATAAGACCAATACCAGTACCTGCCTTCCCATCATTCCTTCCACTTATCTACTAATCCCTTTTGAGTTAGTTATTCAACTAGTAAATTCACTTAATTGTTCCATCATCCAGTCTGCTTTCTCTGGCTTTCTAGTAGACATCACTAGCTAATTATGTGGAAAAACCTCAAGGTACCCAAATTGGCTATATGTCTTTATCATACAAGACAACAGAGTAATTAGGCCATGGACTCCTGTCTCCTGTGTCAGTGATAAATCAGTGGAAAGTTTCAAATGGATCCAGGGAGTCTTTTATACTAGAAGGAAAACTCTGCTTTGAGGATAACATTCAAGACAGTAATACAGAGAACGATTAGTACCCATAGGCAAGTTGAATATGAGAGCTTGAGAACTTGAGAGCCAAGTGAAAAATTAAACCAAACCCAAACAACACTGGACAGCCAGGCAGTCTATAACATAACATTCCCATTATTTCTGTCATTCACCTTCACTATATAACCTCCCTTAAATTGCTACGAAGCATAAAATATCAGTCTCGTTTTAAAGAGAAGATAAAATTTAAAAATAGATGCTAGACATCATGAATCCTTGTAGAACAAAATGTAAGGAAAGCTTCACCTAGGTGAAGGCCAGCAGGTGGCAGGGGCCAAGGATCAGAAGTGTATGCAACAGCAGAGTAAAATTAAACATCAGATTAGGGGCACCTGGGTGGCTCAGTCAGTTGAGCGTCTGACTTCAGTTCAGGTCATGATCTCACAGTTTGTGTTTGAGCCCCACATCAGTCTTTGTGCTGTCAGCACAGATCCCGCTTCAGATCCTCTGTCCCCTCTCAATCTGTCCCTCCCCCGCTCGTTCTCTCTCTGTCTGTATCTCTCTCTCTCAAAATAAATAAATAAACAAACAAATAAACTTCTAAAAAATCAGATTAGCTATCCCTAGTCCCTAAAATAAAGAACATGTTTGCCTTAACTCTTCTAATTATATGGATGTTACATAATACATGTACACGTGCACATGCTCATGTATCTGTCTTCTAATATAACTTAGCCTGATAAATATCTCTTGAATACCACTTTTGTGAAAAATATCCTATATTTACAAAGCATATGAAGATGATGATTTGGAAAAAACAGCCAGTTCGGGGTTCATAGAAGCATATAGAAAGACACACAATAAAATGGTCCTAACAGGTTAATATGCCTCCCTAATTACTGGAGAAAAAGAAAAGTTCGTGGAGATGAATGAACCTCTCTTACTTTTCACTTAACAATAATCTTTACAAAAATCTTCTGATAAAATTGCCACCTTTTCATTAGCTGTTGGGAATTCGTGGTAACAGTAGAGATGACTTTTCCCACCCCTTTATTTCTCCACCCACGAAAAGGTACTTAATTTAACTACGATTCACCGCCAAAAAAAAAAAAAAAAAAAAAAAAAAAAAAAAAAAAAAAAAAAAAAAAGAAAAAGAAAAAAAGTGATCGAACACAATGCCACATTATCCACTCGAGGGTCTCTCAAAGGGGAGTATCACCGGGGCCATGTGATCAGCATTATTCCTTACTGCCTAGGAAGATTCCCGCAAAGGCGAGCTGGAAAATGCTGTAGATGAGCGGGAAAGTGAACACAACGTTGAGCTCCTCCTGGGTGAAGGAGAGCTGCACGATAGTGGAGCACAGCTGAGTGTTCTGCATCCCCGTTTCCAAAGCAACTGTTCGGCACCTGCAAGATGCGTTGAGAGGATTTATGCTCTTATGGTCATTATTTTGTGCTTTGTTATTGCATGGCACTGAAAGCAGATACAATGAGAACAAGTGCTTATATGTGTATGTGTATGTAGCTTGCTATCTGCTTTTAAGGTATATATTTATTCAACATATTCTTTTACTTATACTACATGGATAGATAACTTCTTAATATATATGATTATATACAGTATGCACAAATATTCTCTCTCTATATACATAGATACAATCTTGGCTTAGTCACCTTTTATGATTGTTATGATCGTGAGAAAAGCGATATAAAACATCACAAAAGTTAAAAAAGCATATGCAAACAAAAACCGCTGTTGCTGTTTTCTCCTTTCCACGTTAAAGAAAATTTAGAGTTTTTGACATCATTTTGTCCAGAGAAACACAGAACACTGACTAGCTTATTTTGCCCATTGAGCAGTGGAATATATCTATATGTGTATGTGTGTATGATATATATATATATAATATGTATGTACACATCTTATATATATGTATATATGTGTATATGTATGTATATAACCTTATATATAAAGATAATATTTATTTATATTGTTACATAATAATATTTATTAACAAATAATATATTTATTCAGTACAAATAAAATTACATGTTGAATAAATATATACATTTATCTTTTATTTATTTTTTAGGTGAACATATTTTTTAATTTAAATTTTAGTTAGTTAACATACAGTGTAACATTGCTTAATATATATTCACTTAAAGCAGATATATATGTAAATAAAAATATACATATGAAAAGAGTAGGATCATTTATATTAGTGTTCCATGAATTCAAAGGGGGCTCCTTTCATACTTTCCAATTATGCCCTTGGTACCAGTGCAGAGCACAGAGTAGGGGCTGAGAAGACACTCAAGATAGAGTATTTGTTATAGTTGCTTCATTGTTAAATTGGCTTTGTTTTTCTGATGAAAGCTGGATAAAAGTCTGCCGGGAAGGTGGTACTGCTCCGTTCTCCAGACGAGAAAAGTCAGAGGAAGAGTGAATGCCTGCCCTGGGGTTCCCAAGTTCAGTTGGTGGTGGGTCAGAGTGCAAGCCCAGATCAGCATGATGACGTGTAACACCCCCCACTGCCCAGCCCTGTTCGTCTCTTTCTCAATGTCTGGCATGCTGCAGCTGCGACACCTGCTTTTCTTTCTGCCTATTGGCTCAGATGGTCTGGCAGGGGAGGAAAAGTTTTTACTCGGTACTAGACTTGTCCATGCTAAACCCAGCTCTGATGTTTGCACCTTGGGTCATTGAGGAGCTCTGCCTGTTGCTGGATGGAGGGCCCCTTGTCACCAGGCCACCCTAAGTGCTTTTGTTGAAGTTATTCTGCCTGGAGAATAAGGACGTGAGACAATGGAAGGACTCAGTCTGCTTGTGTGGGGAATGGTCCCCGAGAATCTGAGCAAAAGAGTCGGTCAGTATTTTATTTCTGGGGGACCTGAGTCTATTTAGAATGATTGGGTGAATGTTATTACAGGTGAAAGATTTTGAATGTCTTATCAGTATTTACAGCTGTTATGGTTGAATTGTGTCTTCCCAAATGCATATGCTGCAGTCTTGACCCCCAGGACCTCAGAATGTGACCGGAATTGGAAATTGGGTCACTGCAGATATACTTGGTTAAGATAACATGATTAGGGTGAGCCCTAATCCAGTATGACTGGTGTCCTTATAGGAAAGGGAAGTTTGGGCACAGAGACACTTCTAGAAGAAAGACAGTGTGAAGACAGCCATCTTCAAGCCAAGGAGAGAGGCCTGGGACAGATTCCCCCTCACATCCCTCCAAAGGAAGCATCTTGCTGACACGTTGCTTCTTGGACTTCTAACCTCAAAACTGTAAGACCTTAAATTTCTGTTTAAGCCACTCTGGCTGGGGTACTTCTCTATAGCAGTCCTAGCAAATGAATACAACAGCCATTACAGAAGCAGATTCCCAGTCTGATTGATCAAAACACCATACCTGTGCCAGGACTGACCAGCTATTCTAGCCAGTAAAAACCCTAGGGAGTAACCAGCCAAAGGAAATAACATCCCTATGATCCACAGTTTGGGAGCGATGATCCAGGCGCTCTGGTATAGAATTCCTCCAACGACAGCTATGAGCACGATAAGGATTGCACCTGTGATGGACCCGATCTGGAAGGAAGACACAAGCAGACCCGACAGCTGTGATTGAGAACAAAACCCACTCAGGAAGAATTGGAACACCTGGCTTCCAGATTGAACTCTTCCTGCTCTCCTTCCTTTGGTAAGTCTTACAACGTCTCTTAGTCTTGCTTTCCTCATGTGTACTTGAGGATCAAGTCTTGCCCAAGATGCCTTTTGTGATGATGATAATGAGAAAAGGGATATAACACTCTACAAAAGTTAAAAAATCATATATAAACAAAAGCCACTGTTGTTACTGTTTTCTTATTTTCACAGCAAGAAAATTTGGAGATTATAACTTTTTTTTTGTCCAGAAAAATAAAGAACACCAACTAGCTTATTTTGTCTTCCAATCAGTAGGATATATATATGTCTCCATCTATATATATGTATATCTTTATCTGCATTTATTTCTGTATTTATATCATCTGTGTCTATATCTATACCACTTTATCCATATCCATACCAACTAGCTAGAATATAGTTCCTGAAGGGGAATGAATGGTTACTAATGAATGGTTACTAATTACTAATGGGTACTAATTATCTACCAATTGCCAGATGCTGAACTGGCCGTATGGATTCAGAGATAAGAAACATCTGATCTATTTTTGAAAACAGCTGTATACATACATTTTATAATACAAACCCACAGAACAGAGATCAGAGCAAGGTGCCCTGGGAGTAGAGGGTAGAGTAAAAGCAGGAGGTGGCATTTGAGTTGGATAGAATCCTGCCCTGTAGGTGGGACCAGGAAGGGCACTCTGGAAGAGTGCACTGCAATGTCTAACAACTTGAAGTCTCGCTAGATGGAGGTTTATGATATACTGAAAAAACCGGTTTCGTCGCTGGAAAGATCAATTATTGAAACTCACACTGTGGAGCATTTGCAACCTATGGCATGGGGCACTTACCTTAAGAATGATCTTGGCTTTGTGGGGCCATTTGTGGTTAACAAATATTCCAATGGAAACGGGAACAACAAGAGCGACCAAAGACGTACCTGAAAATGACAGGAGAGCAATTTGATCAACAAAATACGTAGCCCAGGAAAAAGGAAGACAAAACAGTAAGCAGCCTGCAAAAGGCTTAGGTAGTATATCAGTCCCCCTTATGAATCCACAAAACAGACTCAAGCAAAACAGTAATAAAACTCTCCTTGATCCACCCCAGCAAAAGATTTAATCTTCCTGGTGAAGCATTGCTAACATGGATGGTACAAATCCCTCTTAGGGTTCTTTACACTGCCAATCTTTTACTTTCAGTTTATCAAAATCTTGGCTTCTTTGGTCTCTGGATCTTGATATCCTGGGAAAAATACCTTTCTAAACTGTGTGTGTGTGTTTATGTTCTTGGGGTGTACATGGGTATTTTATGTCTGCCTGTTACATCACGGCAGTGGAAACCAAACAAAAAGTTCAGAATTCTCCAGGCATTCTGTGGACTGATGACTTCTGGTTAAGACTGAGTTCGGGTCTTCAAATCTACAGCAGAGAGGTGAGAGAGGAGGTTGAAAAAAGCATGCTTTAAATTTTCTGTGAGATAATATATTTGGCGACCTCTCAAGCAATTATAATTCTTTGCAGGAACGTGCTCACCCAGCCAGATAAAAGAGCCATGCTTCAATTTCCTCATGTTAAATTTACTGCTGTTCCCATCACATGATGGTTTGTTACCCCATGTTATTTAACTATTTTTTGTCCAATCACTGCTTTTACATAATTGTGTGCCAACAACCTCAACTTCTCACGGGCTGTTTCTTTGTCAAATATCCTTTTAAAGCAGGAGGGGAAAGTGCAATCGAATCATGAAGTTTCGAGGGTGGTCGTTGCTCTGCATTGGAGGAGATTCGATGAGGACCGGAAAATGGATTCTAGATCCCAGGGCTGCAAACATGAATTTAAAATGAACACAACAGTGATGAAAACATAATTTCTTTGTAGCCTTCTGGTCCTCCTGGCAGTATAAAGGTCAGCAGTTACTTTGTCCCAGAAATTACTCAAAGGGATTAAGTAATGGCCGGGAAAACCTAAAACAGGAAAAAAAACAAAAAAAAGATGGTAGGAGAAAATGGTGGAACACAGGATATGGAAAAGAGTGGTTGATGGTCATACTGGTAAGAGCTTCCAGAAAAACCTCCTTTGGGTATCCTTACATCCTGCTACTTTGGGAGGAGACTTCTTCCCTAGGGTGTCCAGACTACTTAAATTGTGGCAAGCTTGTAGGCCTCCAGTTGAAACCGTCTTGATCCAAATTGACTGTATTCTGGTAGCTTACATCCAGGTGCAGATACTGTGCTTGGGATGTCAGTGTGGTTAGGGTATAGTATATTTTTAATGTGTCCCTTCTGTGAAAGGGGCTCCCTTCCCCCGCTGCCCCACCAGGCTGGGGCCCCTCCTGCTGAGAGTCTTTACCTCTCTGGGGAGGCCCAAGGCTACAGGATGAACGCACGGACCACCTGCCCAAATTGTGTTTCTTCTGCCAACCGGGTGAGGCCAGAGACAGTTTTTCTGGGACCAGAAGTTGGCCATTAAAGACACTCTTTGCCCTTCCTCAAATTCAGTGTGTGGTTCCCACCCAGAAAGGTGGGTTGGTGTGATTCTTGACTCCCCGTGGGGTAAAGTTTCTCTCTCCTTCTCCCCCTTCCTCGTGTGCCCGTGCAGCACGTGTCTAACGCCCGTCCAGTTCGATGGGAAAGCAGTTGGGCCACTGGAACTGTAATGTGGCCTTTTTGTTTTGAGTTCCCAGAGCAGGTCTGGGAGGAAAGAAAGACGGATAAAAGCAAGAAGAGGACAGTCATGGACTGGAGCCAGAGGGACTGGGGTCCGAACCTGACCAACTGTGGGAAGGCTGCAAACTGTACAGCCTCTCTGTGCCCTGGTGTCCCCCTTTGTGAAGCGGGTAGAATTATAAGTAGCTCACACAGCTGCCGTGGGAATTAGGTGATGAAGCAGGTGTATGGTTCATAGCGTTGGGCACTTTTAAACAGACAGCAGAGGGGAGCAGGGACAGCACCCCGCAGCCACTGGTCTCCGTGTTCTCGGTGGCACAGGCTGGGGAGATGCCCTCTTCCACCCCAACCCCCTATGGGAAGGGCTCGGCTATGGTGCTGCACCTGCACAGTGGGGTGGGCATTGTGTGGAACTCGGGCTGGGCAGCGCTGACCACAGAGAGAATGTGAAGACCAGGGGGCATTTCCAGCTCAGTGCTCATTTGGGGCAAATTAAACTTTACCCTGGGCCTTAGTTTCCTTGTCTAAAAAGTAACGAGCACAACTTGTGAAGTGATTGGGTTGTTGTCTTAATGGACTAGAAAAACCAATAGCAAGAAGGTTAGGTTGGAAAACAGGCCTGGGTAAAATGGTGAATAAGCAGAGTCAGTATCTTTGTTTTTGCTAACTCATTTAACAGTTTTAAAAATCTTGCCCTTTTCTCTTTTCTTTTTGCCCTGACCTCTTTCCTGATGACCGTTAGCTCCACGGAGGTGCTAGTTACTCTGTCTCATTTTCTGTTCCTTTCAAAATTTATTCACATTAAAGGAAGTGCTGGGCACCTGGGTGGCTCAGTCGTTTAAGTATCCAACTCTTGATTTCAGCTCAGCTCATGATCTCTGGGGTTTGTGAGATTGAACCCCTTGTCACACTGTTCACTGGTGTTGTGGGGCCTGCTTTGGATTCTCTCTCCTTCTCTCTGCCCTCCTCTGCTTGCTGCTCTCTCTCTGTCTCAAAATAAATAAATAAACAAACACACATATTTTTTAAAAAGGACGTGTTATAAGTTATTCACACTACAGTTACAATTATTCAATATAGCCATGAAGTATTTTCCAGAAGGGAATGAATATCACGAAGAGAATTTTCTTTTAATGTTTATTTTAGAAACAGAGTGAGAGACAGAGTGCAAGAGGGGGAGGGGGCAGACAGAGGGTGACACAGAATCTGAAGCAGGCTCTAGACTGAGCTGACAGCACAGAGCCTGACTTGGGGCTTGAACTCATGAACCACGAGATCATGACCTGAGCTGAAGTCTGACACTTAACCGACTGAGCCACTCAGGCGCCCCTCGACGAGAATATTTTGAAGCTTAAATTATTTTGTTAAACAATAAGTAATAATAGAATTAAAAGTCCTCACTCAAGAGACAGGTTCTTTGAGAGGCCTGCAATGCAGGAAGTCTACATTGTTTAACCTGAAGGAAGGTGCTTTCCAAGGGAGCAGACTGAGAGTTAAGGAGCATGAGGCGGAGCAGGGGATTCTGTGGAGTCACCCTACAACCTGTTTGCAAGAGAACTATCTCACCTATATCTCATCTTTTATGACTACAACGGTGTGGGAAATGCCTGGTTTGAGAAGGCCAGGAGCTGTCTTGTCTTACCCTTGACCCCATGTTACACAAACGACTTAATTTCTCACCATTATCTGTTGAACCGGAAACTGAAAAAAAAAAAAAGCCCCTTTGGGGTGGGGGTGAACATCTCGGAGCAAAATGAGTGGAGACAGAGTCATGAATGGTAGATTTGACTCCTGGGGCATCACGTACAGACTGCACCAGGCAACGAACTTCTGAGTCAAGATGTGGCTCACAGTCGAGTGTTACCTATATTACGTTTCGTTGGGTAGTTTCCCAGCACCACACCCACGATTGCTCATTAGGTGTCCTAATTTTAAATCATTACTGGAATGTGTGTATATATATTTATGTTATATTTCTTCTATCTGCGTGTCTGGGAGCAAACTCATGTTCCTGTGAACTATGGTACTGAGCGTTACGGGAAGGACATAGCCTCTTGCGCATCAGCAATTTTGGCTTCCTCAGGTCCAGACCGCCGTGCCTTGAGTCAGCCCTCCCTCTGGTACCTGCAGTGGAGGAAAACCAGGTTCTCCCTTGGGGTCAAAGTTTGGGGTTTGGATTCTGCCAACCCTCATTCAGTCGTAGGCATGACCTGTAACGAAATCCTGATTGGGTAAAAATGGCCGCTGGTTTGAGAGGTAGACACTAGCTGGGTCCGGGCCTGGCCCGAGGTTAACAGAGAACAGGAGGGTAATATTCAGAAAGCTTGCAGAGGAATGACTTACCTATGTTATCAAAGGGAATTATGATGGTCCCAGAGTCGACCCACATTTTGGTATAGATAAAGAGGCACAGCGGCATCATTCCCAGGGCAAGCAGCGTGGAGCATGTGGTCATACTGATGCTGGAAGGAAATGGGCAGGTTGATACGTCCGCCTGGGTTTTCTAGGGGGAGACTTAGTTTCATCTTGCAATTCGTGATTAGGAAATCCTGCGGAAGACTCAACCAGCAGCATCCTCTAGGCTGATGGACGGATGTGTGCATGCGCCCATCTTTGTACAGGTCCCAGCTTTGGGGAAAATGCGGAGATCTGGATTTGTTGTTTTTCTACTCTGTCTTGGGCCATTCCTCCCTCTCCACTGGTTCTCGAGGATCAGAGCAGACAGTTAATGACTGTTTAAATTCATTATTAGAAGAGGTACAGGGTTCTTGGACACACCACGCTTTGGACCTCCAATCAGAGAAAAGCCAACACATCTATACCAGCTGAAACTTTAGGGGCTTTGCTGTGTCTGTCCGTGTTGAGATGGGATGGGACTCCCTGGTCCCTCGGAGGAGAGCACATGTCCAAGGGAGGGAGCCTCAGTGTCTTTTTTAAGGCAGACAGATTACTGCCCCAATGCCTGTAGCTTAAAAAGAAAGAGGAAGCTGACTTGAAGAACTAAAGAAAATATGCAAGCGGGGGTGGAGGGGGTGGTGGGCCTGGATTCTATTTCCGCTGAGAAATTTACCCAACGTGTGTTCAGAAGGACCAGGGTTTGATACTATTACTCCTGAGAGCATCTGTGTTTTAGTGAGCGGACTGGCTGGGTGAGCAGATTTTGGCTTTGGACCTGGAGGAGTTTACATGGAATGGTGCTATCTTCCGCAATGTGACAATGGATGGAAGACAGGTGTTTGGGTGGCGGGTCTTCCTGGTTCCCCTCAAGGGGCCATGTGCACAGAGGCACATTCTCTTCCTGGGGAACAGAGCTGTTAAATGTCTGGGCCAGGCAGTAAAGCCAGACACTGCTGGGGTTGGAAGCAGGCGTAGCCACTTACTACATAAGTACTATGCTCTTTGGGTAATTTACTTGACTTTTCTTGGCCAGCTTCCTTATCTGTGAAATGAAGATTATAACTATTGCCACCTCATAGGCCGTGAGGACTAATGACCCAGTGAGTCCAGTACTTAGAATAATGCAAGACTCTCATTAAAAGTCAACTACTGTATTAGCTCTCCAGCCATAGTGTGTGTGTGTGTGTGTGTGTGTGTGTGTGTGTGTGCGCGCGTGTGCGCACATGTGTTGTGTTCCAACAAAATACAGGATCCAGAAATGAGACATTTTTCTGAAAGGCCTTTCTCCAAAACCTGTAGCATTGAGACTATCAGAGTATAATTTCTTAAAGGTATTATATGTGGACTTGAAGGAAAATGCAGAATTATTTACATCACCTGTGACCCTGCCCTCTGCTGTGCTCCACAAACACCAAAACCACACTACATAGTGCTAAGGAAAACAGCTGGGGGTGAGGAATTTCATTTTAATGCATCCAACTAAGCACAGTCTTGGCAAAAAATAAAGGGTGGTGGCAACGCTTAACGGGGGCTTAACTTGGCTAATAACCATTTTTTTTTTTTAAACTGGGAATGACCTCACTTAAAATGTGTTTAAAGAATTTAGGATAAAAAAAAAAGAATTTAGGATAAAAGTACTTGTCTTCGTGGAGCTAAAATAGTATAACACCAACAAGTGCTGGAGATGTATGTGAAACATTTCTAAGAAGTTCCATCTGTTATGGGACAGATTAACTTAATTTAGATACAAAAAAAGGATGCTAAGGCAGCATCCTAAACCAGAATAATAATTTTCAGAAATAGTCTTGCTTATAATTAAAATATTGGAGTTTGTAAGCTCTCTCCCTTCCTTTGACATTCTCTCTTTTATCTTTTATTTCAAAAATAAATTAGAATGGATTTAAAATTATCATCATGGGGTGCCAGGGTGGCTCAGTGGGTTGAGCAGCTGACTTAGGCTCAGGTCATGATCTCAGCCTGTGAGTTCGAGCCCCACGTCGGGCTCTGTGCTGACAGCTCAGAGACTGGAACCTGCTTCAGATTCTGTGTCTCCCTCTCTCTCTGCCCCTCCCCTGCTTGCACTCTGTCTCTCTCTCTCTCAAAAATAAATAATAAAAACATTAAAAAAATTAAATTTATCACCATAATAAAATCATTTTATTCCAGTATGTCCAATGTGCTTTCCAGAGTAGAGGGGATGGGAGGGGTGCACGGAGGGGGCAGTGTTTTCTACCTGGATGATATAGTAAAGAGAAGGGTAAGGATTTTTTATTTTAAACTCTGAGAACAACTCTTTCTCTCTTTGTTTTTTCTTTCAAATTTCCTTGGGAAAGCTTCAATTTTAAATTATTGCTAAGACAGTTTATGAAATTGTGTTATGGTTTTGAGTTTGGCAAGAGTAGTTTCTTGAGGCCCCAAGGTAGGACATGGCAGCAGCTGGAGAAGGGAATGGTCTAGCTTTAGTGGGCCACCTTGACCATGAGGCACTGCAGAGGGGCAAGAGAACAGGTGGCTGGAAGTTGATGCCATTTGAACTAACATGAGAACAATATAAAACCACTCAAAATGAGATGAAAAACAATTCACAGGTAATAATTCTAGGGAGCAGTGTAGGGGAATAGATCAGCAAAAGAAAAAAAACTCCTTTTATGAATAAAATCTGAAGTTTTATAAGAAGCATAGATGTCAACAATAGAAATACTACCATGAGTTTATGCTGGAATGAGGAAAAAGGTAACAAAAGAAAAAAAATCTCTTGTCTTTAATTTTTGGCTTTAGCTCTATTCGCCACCAAGGAAATTTGTTTTCCTTTCTTTTCTTTTCTTTTGGAGATAAAGACAATAAATGAGAATTCACTAAATGTTGAGGAATTAGGTGAAGTCACTGATGAGGAAAGTAAAGACTATTACCATATTAGAAGTAAAACACCAAATTTGACAGATCAAATGAAGTGTATGTAGGTGGTGCTAGAAAGTGGGGACATGGTAAGTGATAGAAAAAATGTTGAACAAAGATTAAGAGTCTGGATAAGGATACCTGGCTAGGTCTGGATTCAAATCTGTCTCTGATTTGTACTGCCTCTGTGACTGGGGTTAAGGTTATGAGCCTTAATTTTATCATCTGTCAAGTGCAGAAAATAATAGTACTGACCTCAAGAGGATTATCTCGAGGGTTAAATACACCAATGTATGTGGAATCCTTGTACTGTGTGTGGCTCATAATGGTGAGCTAATAAATACTAGCTAGTAAAATAAAAATAAATGCTACATAAGAGAAAGAAAGCTTGGTGACTTTGAGGGGAAAAAGAGAAAAAGTCAAATACTATTGGGTTAGTTCTCAGAGTAGAGAGAAACTGGACATTTATGTGATTTAAATGGGAGAGGTTGCTTCAAATTTGTGATAAGCCAGAGGGTGGAGGATCTTGAACAACTAAAATAACAATAAAAAATGAACAATGAACTGACCTGGAAGATGAAAAATGTAGCAATCTTAGCCAGAGAACAAAGGAAAATCTAGAAACGAATAACACTGGAAAATAGAATAAGGGAGTGTAGCTAGTAGATGGCAGCTCCAGATGGAGTTGGGGAGAATGGGGGGAGTGGAAAATCTAGAAACGATTAACACTGGAAAATAGTATAAGGGAGTGTAGCTAGTAGATGGCAACTCCAGATGGAGTTGGGGGGAGTGGAGGAAAGGTACATAAGCAGGGATCCCTCCAAGAAGTCAAAGAAAGGAAAATGACAGGGAAAAGTCCTTGCATGGTGTGGCTGAAAGGAGATTCGAAAATGGGGGATCTCTGGGAATAGAGCCTCAAAGGAGGCAGGTGTCTTTGTGTCCTCTGGACTATGGGTCCTGCCACCGGCAGATTCGCCTGAAGATGTCACCTTCATTTCTCCCAGAAACATTTTGTGTATAGAATGCCCACAGCACAGCTAGAACAGGTGAAAATACCTGTACGCTACTCACATTCCCGCAACACTTTTCTAGGCTGGAGCAGTCCGAGAAGGAGCTCAACTATCACTTGCTGTATTTCAATGAGCAAGGTCTATAATTTCGTTAAGGATAACTGTTAAGTTTGTTGTTGTTGTTGTTGTCTATTATTTTTTTTCACTGGAGATTGCAAAATGCAATGGCTTGCCAGGTTCAGAAGAAATGGTGGCAGGGGAATGAGGGGATGAGCGGGAGAGGGGGAGACAACAGTGTTAGGGGGACAATGGGGTGAAGGGGAGAGGGAGAGGGGGCTGGGTGGGCTGGGGGGGTTGATTTGGTTTCTTCTCCCAGAAAGCACACCCAGGAAAGTCACTGTAGATGGAGTTGTTTTGCTTTCATGGTGTGGTATCTGTTCTAGCAACTGGTAAGCAATGCAGATACCTGTTGTGAAACAATCATATCTTGGCTGCGATTGCTACGGTTCCAGTGGAAATGGAGAACGTAAAGTTCTTAATTTTTTCTAAGTTTGTTTGTTTGTTTATTTAGAGACAGAGAGAGAGCATGCACAAGTGGAGAAGGGGTAGAGAGAGAGGGAGTAAGAGAGAATTCCAAGCAGACTCTGCACTGTCAGCGTGGAGCCCCACATGTGGCTCGAACTCACAAAACTGCGAAATCAGGACCTGAGCCCAAGTCGGATGCTTAACTGACTGAGCCACCCAGGCACCCCGAAGGTAAAGTTCTTAAAGCACAGAACTGACTCCAGAAGAATAGAAAGTGTTGGAAAACTGGTTCCCAAAAGCTGAGGTGATACTCTCTTAACTTACTTTAAAGGAATATTTGACCAGTTCTTCCTTTAACATATGCAGTGCATAATGTCATCATCGTACTGAGCAGCATAATTTAACTGCTTTCAATGATTATGAGCCATTGTGATAAACGCTATTATTTGCTCCGCTAAAATACAGCGATGTCTTCTGGGCATTTGTGTTTAGAGAGCTGTTTGTCCCTAGATTAAGGGACGCAGCGGCTGCTGTGACTTTGTGAGTTGACTTATTCATTTTGGTCCTCTCTCTTGAGGTCAGGCTTTTGGGGCCACTTGATGCTGTGGGACACAGAACCACCCCACTAGCACCTTGCTCCCCACACCACTTCTTTTTTTTTAATGTTTATTTATTTTTTGAGAGAGAGAGAGACGGAATATGAGCAGGGGAGGGGGAGAGAGAGAGGGAGACACAGAATCCGAAGCAGGCTCCAGGCTCCAAGCTGTCAGCATAGAGCCTGACACTGGGCTCAAACCCACAAACGGTGAGATCATGACCTGAGCCGAAGTCAGACGCCCAACCGACTGAGCCACCCAGGCGTCCCTACCTCCACCCCACTTCTTATATCTCATCCTCTGTGCTGAGAAATAGCGCAACAGAGCTCTAGGATTAGGAGATTAAGAAGGTCCTGCACAAGGAACATTTATGACATTAAGCAGGATTGAATCTTTTCCTGGGTTTTGTTTGAGGTCTGGATAGGGGGCATGGCTAGCAAGGTGGACTGCTGGACTGGAGAGCTGTTGGTGTTACTCACAAGACAAGGGGCATCTGTGGAGAACACACTTTCTAGAATGAAAACGAACAATTTCACTGCCATGTGTCCCATTTAGGGATTATTCTGACTTGCTGAAGGATTCACATACACTGATTAAGCTGGCTGTTTTCCACCAAGGTTTCAAGTTTTACTTTGGCTCTTTCTCCTAAATATTTTTATTTTTTTACAGGAATTGTTATATGAGGTAGACAGGATTACATAATCATCTGTTTCAAGACAAATAAGATTTCCTTGACACCACAGAAAAGTGTCAGTTGGAGCTTAGATTAGGTCCCTGCAGTTTTTGCCCGCAGGAAGAAATCTGTTCCAACAGCCAAATAACCCAGCCTCGTGCATACTTTTCTGTTTTACAAACGGATTACACGTGGGGCATTCTCTTGAGGTAGAAGACTCTTCTGTTTTATTGAAAAGTTACAAATACTCTGTAAAAGCTGTTTGGTGGAATTCAAAGTCCCATATTCAATTTGGGTCACTCCCCTTGGCTTAGTGGGTGAATTGTCACCTCTGTGTGCTTATGTCCCGATCAGCCCAAGTTGAGGTCTAGAAGGGCCTTATGGCTCTGTGGTGGTTCACAGATTAACTAAACCTGAACAGCGCTCGCCATCCTTTGTTCTTTACAAGGCTTCCTTAGGGGGAAAAATCTATTGCAAGGAAAGATGGTATTTCCTTAAGTGAAAAGTATGTGAAGTGAAGCCATACAGGTTGTATGGCTTTTCTGAAGCTTTGGGGGGACCAACCCCAGCTGAGATGACACAGTGCTCAGTAGGCACTGTGTCAACGTGGAATACAGCTTTACATTTTCCAGTGGTTACATTTCTACGCCTTAAGCTTCTCTCTTCTGAGCATAGTAGCTGGTGATTAACAGAGCCGACTGCCTACTGTATAGTACTTAATAAGCACGCGTTACATTACCACCTGGCTGCTTTGCAGAAATGCATACCTTTCCCAGGAAATGAGGAATTGTCAGGTAAGGAAAAGACGTTTTTCTATTCAACGTAAGGCATTAAAATTCTCGGTCTCATCACGTTAATGCTTCGTCTTATTTCTATTAGTGGTTTTTTTTTTTTTTTTTTTTTCCGGTGCTAGTTCAGACTGGCACAGGATGAATTGGGCAAACATTGCAATTTAGATTACTCTGTGGGAAGCAGAGAAGCCATTTTCTGTTTATTTTATAGTAAGGTAAGCATAATTTAAAAAAAGCTGCTGCAGGTTTTTTTTTTTTTTCTCTTTTAATGCCAGTAGAAGCGAAGCGAATGTACAAATTCCTCCTGAGGCTTTATACCAAGAAAAAACTTGTTCAAAGAACTGGCTGTATTTGGTGAGTTGACCAACTATTGATATTGTCTTAGAATAGATTCTAATGTGTAACGAACAATTGGATCGCGTGATTCCACTCAGAGCTCCTTGTCACCACAAAGAAAGGTCTGGTTTGTTTCTCGTTTTGTTTTTGCTGATACCAACAGGGCAAACTTTCTCAGGTGCGCTCGTGGCTTGGACAAACTTCTTTTTTGAAACACTTTGAGTCTTTCCCCAAAGATAAATGGCAACTATCCAGCTCCCTGTTCACTGAGTTGGATTAGAAACCACAAATATAAAGTATAACCCCCAAATTCCAATAGCTAAGCAGCTGTACAGGAAGTTGAGGGAATGCACTTATTGTCTTCTGTTTAGTTCCTCAGCTGTACCCTAGATCAGGCTGGTCAGATGGACATCACAGTGATGTGGGCTCGTGACAAGATTAATTCAATGTGATTACAGTAGGAGAGGCTTAGATAGCTTACCTCAAGTCCATGTCGCCATCGACCCAGTAGGCCAAGATATTGGAGGCGGTTCCTCCGGGACAACATCCCATGATGAGTACCACTACAGCTTGGACAGGAAGGATGTCAAAGGCCACTGACAGGATGAATCCCGTGAGGGGCATGATTCCAAACTGACAGAGGAAGCCAACGCATATGCCCCACGGCCGCTTTACGTGTCCTAGGAATTTCTTGATTTCCACATTGCATCCCATGGAGAACATCACCATGGCCAAGAGGATGGTCAAGACAGTGCTCAGGACCACGCTGAGGATGTTATTGAAATTGCTCTCAGTCAACACACAGGACGACCCATTGCAAACCGTGGCACTGGCCGAACAGCCTGTTGAATTATTCATTGCTGGATTTGGTGCCCAAATGGTCACACGCGTCCACAGAAGTACCAATCTTCCGCTCCTCACCAGACGAATAATGCCTCATCCAGCTGTGTCCAACTTTTAAACCCTTCTCAAACATGTGTCACTTGAGTCTCTTTCAAAAGCCACCTCAGAGAAGCAATAAAAAACAATAAATGCTAGTATGTCAGTTTCCAGAGGTAACATTACAACACAGCACAAATTATGAATCATAAAAGTCCTGCCAAATTGTTGGTCCGGCTGGAGAATTATAATTAATCATTTATTGGCATGATAATGAACCGTACCATATAAAAAGAGCCGTGTTAATGTTTAATGCTGAGGAGGTTTGTGAAATTTCAGTTAAGTGACACTTAAAAACAACTAAGAAAAACGAAAGAACGTTGGAGGGTGTAAGCCATAGGAAAGCACATTGTTCACTCATATAAGGGAGATTGGGTCCTGAAAAGTCACGTCCTGTGCCGAGTTAAATTGCAAAATCGTGTCAGGCTCTGAACTGGGACCTAGACCTTGAATTTCCTCCCTCCAAGAGCCTTCCTACTGAATCAACTGGTCTGCTTGTATTGGTCTATAGTTTTCCTAAAGTACATGTAAGTTTCAGAAATCTGTAGGGTCTTGATGCAAACCTATGGGACAGTAACATGCAGGAGGGTGGAATGTTCTCTATGTGGTCTGGTGGGAAGGGAGCTGATGAGTAGAGCCACCCTCAATTACAGAAGCGATTCTGTGTGTGTTGCCATGGTAACAAAGCACTTGTTTTTTTTTTTTTTTTTTTTTTTTTTTTAGGTAGAGACAATACAATTATTTAGAGGAATAAGCCCCAGAGGATTAAGTCAAGGTAACAGGCTGGTGGATAGAGTTTCCAAGGGAGGCTGATTTTTATGAATGTCAAATAGTCAACCTCATTGCAGACAGAACACTGTATTTGGTGTGTAAGGAAGATAAAGGAGGGAGAGAGGGATTGTTCCTGTTCTCGGAAGTTTACAATCCAATGACTGCATCAAGATGTATGTGTTGTCTAATTTAATCATGTTAAATTAAGGAAGATGAGCATCCCCATTTTACGGATGAAGACTTGAGGGTCAAGGAAATGAAGTGCTTTATTCAAAGCTACCCAGCGGATACCTCGACATCCTGAAACTCAGTCTGGCTTGGTGAAAATTAGCAGTACCTTAGAACAGAACTTCTCAAAACTCAGTGTGCACATGAACCCTCCAGGGGTCTTGTTACAGCACAGATCCAGATTCCAGAAGTCTGGGGTGGCCTCAGGATGTCTGCATTTCTGACAAGCTTGGCATTGATGGCAATGATGCCGATCCAGAGGACCACACTGTGAGCATCAAGGCCACAGAATACCAATGTCAGGGTGACTACCATGGCACCCAAGGTGGTGGAAACTGAGCTTACCGGTCACAACTGAGAACAGCGTTTAGAGAGCGACTCGATACGGGGAATTACCTTTCTCATCGCTTGAGTACACATGAGCTGTGAGCACCCGGCAAAGGGATCCATTTGTGTCAGATGTCCCAGCTGCTGGGGGCCTAGGGACACTGTCCCTTTAATCTGGAATTGAGCTGCTGGGAAAATGTCGAAGAGTGTCCTTAAGGGGTGACCATGATTCACACTCCTTATGGTGCAGCTTCTGTCCCCAGAGTGCTCCTCTCTAGCTGTCATGCTTCACAGCCGCCTTTGCTGGTATGGGTGGGCTCCCATTAGCTCTGCCTGGCTGCATGCCAGTTCCCGGGAAATCGTCCCAACTCTCTCACTACTCTTCCTGCTCCCACAGCTAAATGATTAGCTAGGGAATCCCCACAAGGGCTCCCCTCTCACTCCTGTGTATGGAATGACTTGGTCCCTGCCCTGCAAGCATCTCCTGGCACTGACCTCTGACCCACTTCTTGGCTCAGGTGCCCGGCAGCCGAGGGGCAGGAGCTGAACACTCCCCCTGCTGCCGCAGCTCGGCACCTGCCAGCTCGGGCTCTGCCCCCCAGTGCCTGGGCTGGGCTGGGTTGGGCACGCCCACAGGACTGGAGATCAGCTTCCAAAGCAGCTGTCCTGCTTTCACCTCCAACAGCCCTGGAGAGTGAAAAAGCTAGCTTAGGACCTACCCCCCAACAGCCTCTTCGCTTCACCAGGTCTGGTCTGCGAGGGGAAACTCCAGGGTGGCTGGGATTTTTCCCAGGATGGGCTTCCTGTTCTGGGCTTGCTGCTGGGTCACCGGGTGAACTCCCTACTTAGCCTTTCTGCTGGAAGCAGAGGAGACAAAGTGTAGAGAGTAGAAAGCAGGTTCAGAACAAAGCTGTTCTCAAATTTCAGATGGCTTGCTCAGGAGATTTGAGGCTCCCAGGGGCAGAATGCTTTGCATATAGACAACTTGCAAATGAGCAGTCTGTTTGACTAGACAGAACGCTACAGTTCTGGTTAAAAAAAATGTGCCAATGCATTTCTAATTTTCACATTGTTTTTACATAAATTTGCACATTAGGCTCGAGAGGCCTCATATTCAAGTATTGGAGGGATTCACAATTAATTAGTACCCTTAACTTCAGCTGCATTCAAATTCAGGCATCAGACTGGATAAATGGAAAATACCTAAATATGCAAAAATCATTCTTTTTAATTACAATGCAAGATCAGGGAACAGATGAGCACCTGAGTGTCACTGTCAGGAGGCTGGGGCTTGATTTCCACTGTCACCTTCCTCAGTCTATCCTGCTCACTTTCTCCATGCAGGGGGCCATTTTCAAGAAGCCAGCTGCACATTCCTGCTTCAGCCCCCACAGGTAGAGACACAGGCAGGTTGTGGGTCAGTTCAACTGCTCAGTCTTCCATTTGGTTCCCCTGTATTGCACTGGAGTAGTGAACATTTAATAGCTTTCTGAGCCTTTGCCGTGAAGATCACTGTGAAAGGCAAGCTTTCTGTTTCCTATTGTGTTTCATCAGGGATGGCTCTGTTGAGATCAACAGGCATTTGGGACTTGAGTGGTTGTGTTGAACAACTCCCTCTGGCCGAGATGACCTCCCTCGCTCCTGTCTCCCATTCCTTCCTGCAAACTGGACTTTTATGGAGCCCGGAAGTCCCACAGTCAGGGTTATTGTTTGGAGTCTCTACTGGCCCTCAGAGAGTCGCCCACGATCGGACTGGCTGGCCATTCATCTGGGTGGGATCAAGGACTTGGCCACCGCACACCAGTTGTACGTCTATCACGTCAGGAGGCTCATGTTCAATGGCACTTTGTAAAGCAAAGTTCAGGGTGATAGTCTCTTTAATAGAACCTATACCATCCCAAACCGCAACAGTGGGATTCTGGTAATAGATCTCTCCAAGCAGCAGGGCAGCTGATTAAACAGATGAAGCAACACAGGGATGTGCCCTTTGGTCACGTTTCACTTCTCAGATTTTAACCCTCTGGATAAACTGGATATCATAGCCTCATGGCCTCTTTGCCATCTCCAGGTACTGGACCTCCTGTCCAGCTTCCAGCTCGAGGGGAAACTAAGAAAAGTAGATGCACGACCTGTCACACTTTCACACTTCTGACATGGGTTTGACTTTTCAAAGGGAACTTTATTAAATACTAAGAGAGCAGAAAACCAAATTAATGATAGGCAGGAAAGCCTAGTATCAGACAAGTTGTCTGGGCTTTTTAAGGATGCAAGCCTGGTGGGGGCACCTGGGTGGCTCAGTCGGTTAAGTGTATGACTCTGCTCAGTTCATGATCTTGCAGCTGTGAGATCGAGCCCTGAGTTGGGCTCCACTCTGGGTGTGGAGCCTGCTTGGGATTCTCTCTCTCCTTCTCTCTCTGACCCTCACCTGCTCTTTCTCTGTCTCAAAATAAATAAGTAAACATTAAAAAAAAACCCACGAATGAAAGCCTGGTTTCTGGGCTGAGGAGAGATAGGGACTGAGGCAGCAAAGGTGGTCAAGGGCATCTTCTTAAGATATCTGAGTGATGTGTGAAGGAGTTTGGACCTCCTCCTGCATAGGGTGTTTGATCACAGCAATGGAATCGAGGAGCAGAATGGGATTGGAGACACTAATTAAAATTAAAAACAGAGAAGTCTTGATAACTAGATGCCTTGTTAAGATGGGAGTCAAAGATAAATTTAAATTTCAAGTTGCAATTTGCTAAGCATGCCTCATCCTTGATGATACACACAAGAAAAGAAGGATCCGGTAAAAAAGATAAGGCCAGTCCTTTTTTCTTTCTTTCTTTTTTTTTGGTACATGTTGAATATGAGCTACTTTTAGGACATTTGGGGTAGAAATAACTCATTAAGGAAGTAATTTATCTTTTAAATTTCACTTTAAAATTTTTTACAAGTGATACATATTTATTACAAAAATTTCAATGAATGCGAAAGGGTTCGAAAAAGGAAGTAAAAACACGTCCAGGTTATTGCACATTTCGTTAATATTAAGTAAGCATCAGTCCAAACATGTCCCTAAGCAGATAAATGGAGGGAAGGGAAAGGTCTTTCCATCAGCATAAAAAGAAAGCTCACAATGGCACCGTGTCTGCACACTGTGGTAAAAATTAGATGTATTAAAATTATTTTACATGAGTTTAACAGCAAAATATCAAATAAAGGCCTGAAAGAGCTTCAGAGAAATATTGAGAGGGAATTATGGAAAGCGTAAGATGGTGAATGCGATTATTTATTAAAAATAATTTTTTTTGGTAATGTTTATTTATTTTTGAGAGAGACAGAGTGTGAGCAGGAGAGGGGCAGAGAGAGAGAGAAGGAGACACAGAATCCAAAGCAGGCTCCAGGTTCTGAGCTGTCAGCACAGAGCCTGACACGGGGCTTGAACACACAAACCACGAGATCATGACCTGAGCTGAAGTCGGACGCTTAACCGACTCAGCCACCCAGGTGCCCTAGATATTGAATGCATTTAAAAACATATATTGAATTTTATGCAATGTTAACTCTCTAACATAAAATATAGGAAAATGAACATTCTCACATTTCTTCTCTGCCTGCCCTCCAGCATCTAAATTGTATTTATTCATCTATGTTGAGCCCCTACTCTGTGCCAGAAACTGTTTTAGGTGTTTGGGTGAATAAAATGGACAGATTCTTGCCCTTGTGGAACTCATAGTATAGTCAGGGGGAGATAGGAAATAAATAACGAAGGCGAACATGATAATGATTTGGTAAATAAAAAATAAACAAATAGAAAAACAAAGGGTAGGAAGAATCATGTGTGCCAGGTG